CAAGAGAGTTAACAGAGCTTACTAAGACTTTTATTATATGCTGTTTATATTTTTAAAAAATCAAGGTTTCTGTAAAGTATATTTACTTTGTATATTAAATTTATATAACTAATTCTAATTATTTAATAAATTTTTGTAATATAGCATTCTATAGTGTTTAACACCAATGGTGCATAACAGTAGTATTGAATCAATATTGATCTCAGGACCCTGTGGTTAGATTTTAACGATTTTATGCTTGCTAGAACCATCTCATTGAGATGGTTATTTTGGTGGTAAAATCACCCAGATTTGACCAGTGGATCAAAAGATATAAACTGTTAAAGATTCTATATATTTTTGCTAATATATTTAAATATTCGCGAAAATTTATATTTTGCATATTTTTTTATGTTCGGGTGTAAAGATAATTAAGCAGCATATAAAATACTAATGTGTTATCCTTTTAATGATAGAGTTTTTCGTGCAAATTTGCCTTCAAAAATTTATCTAACCGTTAATGTAACGTGTTTAATGAATCAGGTCATAGACGTATTTCGGATAAGTTTTAATCCGACAAGGATAAATGACACACCCAGTAACAACTCGTGATTTGACTTTTACTTGGGTTATTTCTCTATGTTAAAAGAAAATAAAGGCGGATCCCAGTTAGAAATAGTTAAAAGTGATATTGCTAAAGCTCTTGGTGAGTAGTTTGTCCGATAATAAGATTATTAGAGGCATATTATTATTATTTATGGATTTGGTATGAAATCCCGAAGAACTAAGTTAAGTCTCGATATACTAGATCTCGACACTTCAGCACTTAAATCCCGAACAATCCGAAAGCTAAATCCTGAAAAAGAACATCCCGAATAATTATAATCCTGAAGAATCACAGTGCTGTGAATCGAATGTAATAATCCCAATGTAATAATTGCGAGCATACATAAATATCAATATTTTTGGTATTTATGATAGTTCATGAAATGCAATTACTCGGGATTATTACATTCTGGATGATGTATTTACGGGGCTGTGGTTCTTCGGGATTCTAAACTGCTATGAAAAAACAAATTTGATCAAAAATTTTCAGACAATTGCCTGCAAATCTGTTAAAGAGATAATTTATCCAAGGCAAAAAAATAAAAACCAAATAATTTAGTATCATTAAGGCGTTTGATCCAGATACGAAAACTAACCCTTATCGGAAAAACTGTACTAGCAAAAAGGTCGGCCCGGTCAACCGGTCTGAGTTTTTTTAGGATCGACCCGGTCCATGATTTTTTCATCGGTCTGTATCACTATTCATGAAAGGCGACTTGATTTGAATGAGAGTTTGAAAACCGGAATTGGTTCATGATAAGTACCAGATTCCCTTTTTTTTTGTGATCCATTTTTTTTCAGGAAATTAACTAGTTTTCTTTTTTTACATAGGTCTTGGAAGTTGACTTGATACCGGAATGGAGATTTAGATGCGAACTTTGTCGAGATATAAGTTTTCGTTTTGCTCTTTTTTTTTAAATTTTAAAAAATATTTGTATTTAAATATTATTATAAAGGATTAAAAATATATATAAAAAATAAAAATTATATATATATATATATATATATATAATAAAATAGATATATATTTATAATTATATATATACTGCATATACTACAGTATATATTTCTAATTGAGATAAAATAAAACTTCATATAGCAATAGTATTTAAACCATATAAAGTTAATTAGTAATTTCATATAACCTAGCCGGATCAATTTTTTATAAATTTTTAATACAAAACTTCATAAATTATTTACTAACGCTATACGTATAAATTATAAATTCTGTATGTAACAATGAAACGAAAGGTTACCAGAAATTTTTTCAGTTGATTCGGGATTTTTTTTAGCAAAAAATTAAGAGCCAGGTGGGTGGGTCGCTTTTAAAATTCATGAGAACAATGAATTAACTTCTTTATGACATTAGCTATAATTAGTATTTGTTCTTTATTAGAACGTTGTTTTTCTTATCTACCGTTAATCGTGATTCTGATCTTGTGATATGATTGGACAATCCTAATTACAGAATTAGCGTATCGGTATGCTACATTTTGGTTTATGCGTTTTTTCTTTTTTACTGAAAGTTTAGATAATTAAAATGGCGAGTCCACAAGCGGTAGAGGTATCAAATAAAACTTCAGGCGAGCCAATCTATACGTGGTCAGTTAAAGAGTTTCAGGATCTATATACTCGCATGGGAACAGGTGCTTTTATGATGAGTGAACGATTTGCTTCTCCCCAACCTTTTACTATCGATCCGGAAACTGGTGTGAAAGACCCGATTCACTGGTGGCGTCTCGTTCTTTATCCGCATGGCTACGCGAATCAACCTGATTATTTAGCGGTATTTCTTACGGCTTTTCGGTCAGAGTACGAAAAAAGGAACCAAGTTAAATCAAGAACAGTTCAACGATTTTGGTTTGAATTGTTTAGAGTTGATAATCCTGATGCTAAATCTAAGAAACTTACACATCTTGCTATAAGAAGTTTTAAAAAGTCCGATTTCGTTTTTGAAAGTCGGGATGATATCCATACTTTAGGCACTAGAAAGTTTGTACCTTTTACCGAAATTTTTGCAGACGGAAAGAATCATAACAATGTTACATTAATTATACGAGTGCATATCATCAATGAAGATCCATTTACGAGAGATTCTTTAAATGAAGGAACAAAACCGAATGAAATAAAAGTAAAATCATTTTTAACTTCTTTCGAAAAATATTTTATGGATGAAAGATACTGCGATATCGAATTTGAATTTGATTGTGGTTCTAGAATTAAATCGAATCGACTTGCTCTTGCAAGTCGTTCAGAATATTTTGATTCATTATTTAAAGGTGAATGGAGCGTTCCTGGAACAACACCAATTCATGTTACAGGCATGAAATTCCGAGTTTTTAAGGCAATTATATACTATCTTTATACTGATAAGCTGGAAGAAGGCCTATCGCTGGACGTATTACAAAATCTTTATTTTGATTCTGAGGCAAGGCATTTAGATGATTTAAAAGAAATGGTTATAACCCGAATTGGTGAAATGGCGGACATTCACACTTGGGATCAGATTTTAAGATTTTCTTTGAAGATCAATGAAGAAAAATTGAAAAAAATCGTTATGATATTCCTTCAATTCAATTGGGATGAAGTAAAACAGACAAAACAGATGAAACGAATGTTGAAGGAGGGAAATGTCGATTGGATTAGCGTGATTGAAAATTTGGTAACAACGAAAATTCTCGGCGATTAGATGTAAATATGTAATTGAAAAGTGGCCATAGATATTTCTCGACTTTGGTACGAAATTTTATTTTATTTTTTTTATTTTCACAGTATTTTTTTTTAGGATTGTGAATGCTTTACGTAATTATATTTTTCTTTTTAGTGTTTTGGTTACTTTTGACATTCGTCGTTCGATATATTGAAGTATTCTATGACATATTACATACTTCTGATAATTTACTAACCATGGATTTACATAGAAACCTTTTTCAGTATCATGGTCAAGTATTTATCACTGAATAGTTTTATTTCCCTTTTGTTTACTTGGGTTTTGTCGGACTTTTTTTTTTTTTCTTTATGAATTTTATACGTTGGAAGTCACCAATTAGATTCAAAATTCAACTCTTCGATGTCACTTCTAGGTTTGTGGCACAAAAAAATATACTTGTTTGGTGCTGACGTTTTTCAAGTACTAAACATTGCACTTTTTTTTAAGTGCCCTTTCAAATATTTTTTTTTTATTTTTTTTTTCTTTCTCCCGTTAATATACAGTGCATTAAACTGTGTAGGGCCTTAGATCACGATCTCGTTGCAAACAATCAATCCACGTTGGGGCCTTTTTTATATAGTTTTTAAAGTGTATTTACTTAATTTAGTTCACATCTAGTGTCGAACACTTTGAAACGATATTATCAAACCTCACTACGCGTAGTATACTGTCGTACCACCGTATAGTGCTACATAAGTACCCTCGTTTTATTGATATGCATCATAAGTAATTGAGTAATCTTTACTGATCTATTGTACTGAGTAACAAGATACACCGATTATAACGAATTTTTGCTTATTTCCCTCATATGTTGTACTTGGGAGGTTAATATTCGAGTTCAGGAGTGTTATTGATGATTAGTGCTATTAATTAGTACTATATGCAACATTATGTGGTGTTTCTTTTTTTTTATATACCCACCTCCTCATTTCTATTGTATAATTTGTCCGGAATTTCGTGGTTTTGGACAATGAACGTCCTTTAATAATTAGTATACAATGTTGATTACTCATTTTTATTAGTTATTGTCAATTGTGTAAACCACTTATTTATTATTTTTCAAAGTGTTAAGGTGAGTTATTGTTATTATATAAAGTGTGTGTTTTTCTCTTTTTAAAGTTGACCTTTTCACGATTACTGTCATGAAATCACGTTGGAACACCTGGCATTAATACTTGGCATTTGAATTTATCCATCATTAATTACTTTTATATTTCGTAAAGTAGGAGGTAAAGCTTTTTGGATGTTGTGAGGTTTTCTTTGCCCTGAATATATATTTTATATATACGTATGCATATTGACGTTTTTTTTTTGTTTACTTTTTAGGAACTTTAATAAAGTTCTGTACAATGGATTTTTTTTTTTTTTTTTCATATCATCAAATTCATGTTTATTTTGAATAATTAAAATAAAATTTTATATTTTAATTATCTTAATAAGTTTTTTTAATTATAATATGTGCAATTATTTAAGGGTTTAAGCTTGGCATGTGATGTAGCTCGTGGTTATATTAATTTTAGTACATACAGTATGCACCATTAAATCGTCTTAATAATGGTTGACTACGTATAAATGAGAATTTGTTTTTTTGCTTTTTTTTTAAATCAGCAAATCGATCTTTGCATAATAATGTAAATTATATACCTGATGATACTTCGTATTCTAAAAGTTCCAATTATTAAAAACTTTTTCCAGAATCTAAAAAAGTAAAATTATTTGATAATAAGTATACTTAATAAAGTATTATTAATTCTTTTTTAGGATAATTTATTACGATAATTTATTGTCTGGAGCGAAGCGAAGGGCACTTTGTTTTTACTTCGGACTATGATAAATAATATCATGTGATTATGTCTGTTTGTTCGCTCCGTGATGCTCATATAGAAGGGTTGGTACTAGTGATGCAGGCGGAACTGTCCCAATGAACCGTACGACATTCGGCAAGTTACGGTTACGGTTACGGCAAAAACA